GTGTAATAATCAGACTTGTGTATCATGGATATCACAGAATTATAAAGTACAATGTTTATTTTTAAAATTTGTACTAAAGATACCACAATAACAATTTTAAAACCAAACTCAAGATTGTTTTTAAACCAGGTGAAGAACAATATATTTAATCTATATAAACACAAACATGGATATTCGCTCATATTACCATTTGCGTCAAGCTTGCTACGTGCGATTTTAAAACGTACGTTTCACGTTTCAAAATGTAGGTTTGCCGTTTTAAAACGTACGTTTTGTCATGCCCCCTTTCATGTTTGGGTTATTTGTAAATACGGTTTTAAAATACTGAATGCAGGTATTTGAAAAAAGAAGACTGTGCCTGTATAGGTTTACTTTTCTCACAGAGTAAGGTTCCATTTGTAATTGTTATAAAACACTTTTCTGCAAACGTTACAAGTGCCATAAAGCTATTTTTGGACTTTAGCTAAGTTCGTTTGAATTTCAAAAACATGTCAATTTCATTGTCTAACATGACAGGGCGTGTGACAAAACGTACGTTTTTAAACGGCAAACGTACATTTTGAAAGGTGAAACGTACGTTTTAAAATCTTGGGCTCGTTTTAGTTCAGTTATTGCGCCGTTAACAGTTTTTCAATTTTTTCACGCTTTGCCTTAAGCTTCCTGCGTTCCTCTTTTGAAATTTTAGATTGTTTCAGTTCCTCATTGCATTGTTCCATCTCCTTATCCTTATTTATCACATCCTCATGTGCAATACTCATGCGCTGCAAATTCTTTGAGACCGTTTGTGACTTTTGCTTACCTCCTTTCTCCCACGACTCACTTTCTGCCTGAGCCAACATATCGTGTTCCCAATTATCGAGTTGTCGGGCTTCATCTTCAAGGAGCGACGTTTTTCTGAGAATCCATGCGATGTCAATTATCCCATAAAGTTCTGTTTTTTTTAATGAGGCAGTTTCAGCACGGGAACACAATATCTCCACTTTCGTTCCAAAACTGTTTCCTCAGTTTGTCCAATCCTTCGTTAGCTTCGATTTCCTTGTCGCTATATATCTTCAAACTTTTCTGCTTTGCCCTCCAAAGTTTTGTTCCGAGCAATTCGACGTCAATTGTTTTAGGTCGATTGTCAGCTGCTGTGGACGTTTCGGGCTGATATGAAAATTGGAAAAAAACTGTGCATTCAGCCTTTAATTCGCACACTGTTATCTTTTGGGGATATTGCAACAAATCTGCGCATGCCCACTCACTTAATAAAAAGGCCGCTTTGCCTATATGAGCAACAATGCAGTCCCGCGATCCATTACTGTAAGGTAATATCAGCAACATTTGAAATTATTTAAAGTTATCCGACCTCATTGCTGTGTTATGATGATATCCAGCGATGGCTTCAGTTATTTGCTTTTATATTAAACTCTCAGAAAAATAATCCAAAGGTTCATCATGTCTTTGTCTAAGACCAGTAACAACTATTGAACCAAACACAGAACACTAAAAACACAATTTCGTTGGGCAAAAATTGCCCGAGGCTGCTTCGAAACCGCCTGGGTATTCAATATGTGCCATCGAAGGGGGAAATATTTAACTTGTCTTTGATCTGCTTTATCAATCTCAATTCCAAAGGCACTGGCAAAATATCTCGAATTTTGCCGAGAATATTGATTTAGGTGTACAAGTGTACAAATACTGTAGTGAAAAGAATTGTAGTGCATTATGTTTGAATACTGTTTTACGAGGGAATAAACAATTTAATGCGCTCACCATCGATTTTTTTTTCTTTGCATCACTTTCTATCAAGAATTCGTACAGCGACCGCTTTCTCAAGCTTTCGCCCTTGCGTTCTTTGCCTTTGCCTTTGGAGTCGATAACTTGTCAATAATTCGAACATCTTCTTGTTTAGGAGTGTCACATCCAAAAAACCAATTGGTGATGAGGCCGATGTAAAAGCACCAAAGTCAGAATCCATTGAAAATTCAATTTCACTTATGGATGTTTCTCCCGAGGTTTCCCCTTCCATGTCTTGAAATGATTCTGGAAAGGGCAAACTTTTGGTAGATGAAATTGAGGGTAAAGTTGTGATCAATTTAACGAGTGCACGCTAGGCAGTGAAGTTGTATCAACAGGTGATGGAATTGACGAGCGCACACTAGGTAGTGAAGTTGTGGCCACAGGTGATGAAAATGAAGAAACAGATTTCCAGACAGCTCCAATGACAAGAATTCGCGTGTTGTCGAAAAAAGACAAGCATTCGTCATCATCAATCTCTGTTCCATCTACTTCATTAAATACCCTACAGTGTCCAGGATGGGTTATTCCCAATTTTACCCTGCCTAAAAATGATAAATTATACCTCTTGTTAATTGCATCTTTATAAATGGCTGTGATAAAATTTATGTTTAGCATATGCCAGTGTCAATACGAGCAGCGCTAATTATTAAAAATAGCAAAGTGGCAGAATATAAGACACTTTTGATCACTTTAATTTCATCAGGCCTTTGCCGACTTTGCGTCCCTGCGCGAATTTTAAGGCTACGCTGCACCCTGATCATATTGGTTATTTGACAGTTGTTTTAATAAATTTCTGCTACTCACTATACAGGATGGTTTCTTAAAATATTCACATACAAATTACCCATTCCCCCTTTGCCAAAGAGAATCAAAACAAGAAAGATATAGTTGATATTTACACAAATATATTAAACTGTATAGTGTTAAAAAATTTTGAATGCCTGAGCGCATGGGAAGTCGCTTAAGCTCTTTCCCTTTTTGAACTATCAAATTTCATATAACTCAATTTTCTCCGCCTCATTGCCTTTATGGTGCATTCTAGTAGATTTTGAATACAAACGAAAACTTCTTTGTTAAAAATTTACCTTTATAGATTGTTCAATAATGCGCGAGGTTAAATCTAGCTAGTTTGACCTTTTCAGCTACTTATCAAATGGGGAATTCGAATTTCAGTTTGCGGTTCCTTCCGTAAACGTCAATCTTGCTAATAATAGAGAGGTTAAGATACTGCGATGTCCAGTTAAGTGTGGAATTGCGAAAGTTTGTTCGTTAAGTTTTGTACAGTCGAACCTCTATTAAGCTCGGGTATCGGCATTGTGGCTGCTTAATAGAGGTACACAAATAATCTACTCTGGACGTAGAAAAAAGTCTATTTTTAATTATAGATCACGGAATACAATAGTGAATAGACTTTAGAAATATCAGGCAGTAAATAGAGGTGGAGGCAATGGGTTGGAAATTCCATGCGAATTTTATTTTACAGGAGATGAATTTTCGATCTAAATGAAAAGCTTAAAAGAAGGCATTTGACGCGAAATAACGGCAGGAAATTATACTTCGCATTTCAATGCCGCCAAACACTGCTTTTGAGGTGTAAAGTGGCATGTGTAATGATGAGATAAGTCTTTGGGTGGCTGCGGCCGCTTAATGGAGGTGGCCGTTTAATAGAAGGATAGTTAATAGTATTTATTACAAAAATTTCGGGACTTCGATCCGTTCAACAGAGGGTGGCCGCTTAATAGAGATTCGACTGTAGACTCAAAGCAATGTTTGTGATGTCATCTAGTGATGTTACCAGGTGACGCTCACCAAGTTGTCAAGGAAAAAATGTCAAGTTTTTGACTCACAGCTATCAATAAACTACAGTAAAAATAGCGGCTAGTAGTCGCTATACAGATCTTCTATTTATAGTCACAAAATTGACAGTTTCCCTTGACAACTCGGTGAGCATCGCCTAACAACATTATTAGATGATGTCACAAACATTGCTTTCAAACTACAAAACTTAACAAACAGACTTTTGCAATTCCACCTTTAACTGGAAATCGCAGTACGCCGGTTCTGGTGTACGGGTACGGATAGCCTTATTTTGTTCAATGAATTTCTATTTCTATATTTTTTTCGAAGAATTACTTGGCAATTCTTTTCCAGTAGACTTTAGCCTCCTGAGGCAAGCATGAAAAGTATCATGAAACGTGCAAACAAAAAGAAATCCCAATGAACAAATTATGGCTACCCGTACCCGTATACCGAACATGGTCATATATACCTGGCCATAAATTAAACTGCTTATCAACATTCAACGATCTATATAATAGTTAGGCGATTACCTTTCTCAATCAAACTTGTGATGCTATCAGCCACAATGGTTTTCCTAATCGTCCGTTCCATGTTCCACACTTTGAACAAACGAGCCATTTTCGAATAAAATAAAATGCGAGAGTGTATACAGTCTTCAAGTTGAGCTTTTTTCTCCAGTGGTCAGCACCTAGTAATGGATCTCAATGACAATGATTGAATGTGATTGCAAGGTTCAATTTCATGCACATTTTTTTCCGGATGCTAAATGTCATCGACTATTTTCATGCGCCGCCGGTGTCACGGTCCCAGAGCTTCCCCAGTCTGAGTGCTCCCCTTGTAACAAGTGCGCATGTGCAGTGTAGGGGGACAACTGAGCACGTAGCAGAGCGGGCTCAGTTCTCCCCCAGTCTCAACAATCTTCTGAGGACATTGGCGTAAAATATTAAACTTTAGGTACATGGGACGAAAAGCAGAGAAAAAATGCTTTTGACAAGGTAGTCCTGTTAAAATGTGACCTCTGTAAGTGATTTCATGTAACTGTTGGACAATATTCTGTATTGTAAGATGGAATCAGCACAAAATGTCGCTAAAATATAGATTTGAATGTCACGATGATGATGATCGGAATCGGGTGGGCTACAAGCGTACATCACATTTATATCATCATAATCATTCATACATTTTAGCCGCAATTTATTCAGTTTGCCATTTTGATTAACAATTACAATGTCATAATATTAGTAAGCACTAGATATAATCTCAATTATGATATAAAATTATAAATACAACCATCAGACCTATTATACTGGTCTCAGTCATCCCCTTTTATACACTACCAGTCTATAAGTCTTCCCATTTACATTATCGGTCTCAGTCATCGATTTACATTATCGGTCCCAGTTATCCCCCTTTGCACTTTAAGTCTCAGTCATCCCATTTACGTTATCAGTCTCAGTCATCCGCTTTACATTATCAGTCTCAGTCATCTCCTTTACATTATCAGTCTCAGTCATCCCATTCACATTATCAGTCTCAGTCATCCCATTTACATTATCAGTCTCAGTCATCTCCTTTACATTATCAGTCTCAGTTATCCCCTTTACATTATCAGTCTCAGTCATCCCATTTACATTATCAGTCTTAGTCATCCCCTTTACACTATCAGTCTCAGTCATCCCATTTACATTATCAGTCTCAGTCATCCCATTTACATCATCAGTCTCAGTCATCCCCTTTACACTACCAGTCTCAGTCATCCCATTTACATTATCAGTCTCAGTCATCCCCTTTACACTATCAGTCTCAATCATCCCCTTCACATCATCAGTCTCAGTTATCCCCCCCTTACACTACTAGTCTCAGTCATCCCATTTACATTGTCAGTCTCAGTCATCCCCTTTACGCTATCAGTCTCAGTCATCCCATTTACATTATCAGTCTCAATCATTCCCTTCACATCATCAGTCTTAGTTATCCCCCTTTACATTATCAGTCTCAGTCATCCCCTTTACACTATCAGTCTCAGTCATCCCATTTACATTATCAGTCTTCATACATCCCCTTCACATCATCAGTCTCAGTTATCCCCCTTTACACTATACTGTTCATACACTCTGTTCACCAAAGTGGGAATGGTGCTAATTTGGCCAATTGAAAGCACAGATGCGCTCTTATACAAGTCTGGTCATGGTCAGTTTGCATGGTTCCTCACCTTGTCATTTAAAAAGACACCAGTGTCATTAGACAGGAATAGATAAATTTGAAAATGACCGAAAAGGTCACAAGACTAAATTTATATTTTGATATAGATTTACAATATGTACAGGTATATATTTACATATTATACTATTTGGAAATTTTACAATGAAAAGATGTTTTCCTATTAATAGTTCTAGGCAACTTGTCACACGATCGATGGAACCAATTTAAACACTTCTGGCACTCATAAAATCACCATCACTATATGGCATTCTGCAATGGCAGAATCGCTCTACATATTCTTCAACCCTGATGCCCACCACACGTCTTGATGACTTGGCTGGAAATGAGGCTATGTCATTACATTGAAGACCCAGAGCTAAATGTACTCTCAAAACATGCTGATCATATTCTTGTAGACTAGGATCATCACCGTTGCAAAGGCTGACCGCTACTGCAAGTGCAAAGAGGCCACAATCTGAACAACCTTTTTGCTGTACCATTGATGGCCATTCAATTACCAAGTTCGCTAAGTTGGTGTTTAGCAGAGATGCCAAGGATGTGTGAAATTTCACTTTATCATTCTCTGGGAGTTTGGTGTAAATGCTTCTTAAGGAGTCATAAACTTTAACTCTGCTTTCACAACCAATGTTGGTGACTGTCACCCAGTGCTTTCCAACATTTATCACTTGCATGAAGTCTTCCAATCCTCTTTCCACTTTTTTGCTTTCAAAAGCTAAAACAGAGTGCCAACATTTTACTTGGGGGAACTTTTTTGACATTAGCCATTGGGCATGATCAATATGTTGATCAGTGAGCCAATACTCTGCTTCGAGAACTGTTGACACCAATTCAGCAGGCTTTGGATATGCCCTTGCATACAAAATCTGGTTTTGTTTTTTGCAAGGCTTACTTCTTTCTTTGATGCTTTTTTTGGTAGCATATGATGGTGGTAAAATAGTGATTTCATCTTCTGATGGGTTGTCTTCCAGATGTGAGGTGATGTCATCAGGTGGAAGTGAGCCTGTTTCATCTGATGCAGGTGGTGTGGTAATGCTGGGTAGCGATGGTGCAGGTGAGGTGTTGTGGTTGGGTGACAATGGGGTGCTGTCTGTCATCTGGTGGTGATAATGAGCTGTCATGGAGCTCACTTGTGCTATGTGGTAGCAGTTGGTCATAAGGGACTTTTTTCTTCAAAGGCTCGGCACCATCTTTTAAGGAAATAAGGGTCGCACGTTGGGTTTTGTCAATCTCTGTAACTCTAAAATGAAAGAATTTATACTATTGGTTCTATTCTTGTAAGGGCTTATTAACAGTAATCTATCCTTCAAAATGTAAATCAAGGTCTAGGAAGCCAAATTGTCGTTGAGGTATGCATTGTAGTGTATACCTAAACTTGTGCTTAATTATTATCATGAGTAGTAAACTTGGAGTAAGGGTTTGCAAAATAATATTTTGTACCTGTACAGCCCTATCCATGTTGGTTCCATCTTCCCACCTTTTCGTGACAGGTTTTTCATCTGCTTTTTGAAGACTGTATCTCCAACCTTGATGACAAATGTTTTCACCCCCTTTGCCTTTCTTTTTTGGTACTGTTGCTTTTGTTTCTGCTGGGCAATGTCTATGTTTTTGAGAACCTGTTTAAAAGCACATTCATCATAAAATGAAAAATTAAATCATGAAGTGGTTATTTTATAATCATGAAATTGTTTTCCTATTAAAATTTAACACATACCTGTTGGCATGTAGCCTCAGATAATTGTTTCTTTTCTTTTACTCTCTCATCCAAATGCTCGTCTGGTTAATCTGGAGCAGGAGAATTGTCCTCAACAACAGTTATCTACAAAATTTTAAAGTACATATAACTTGGATCAATTGTATAAAACATTTTCTGTGTAAGTTGTCAAATCAGGAGTACTATTCCACAATATCATTAGGCTGAGTTCATTAACTCACCTTCTCTGGTGAATTTGGATTCCGACCAAACATCAGAAAAAATGGAGTGTACTTAGTTGAAGATTGCTTCTGTGTCCGTATAGAATAAGCCACCTCATCCAAAAAGTCAGACCAATTATTTTGGTATTCGTTGACCAATTTCGACAGTCGTTGTTTTAATGTTTGATTTGTCCTCTCATCTAAACCATTTGTTTGAGGATGATAGGCGCTGGTGACAGATCTCTTTATCCCAAACTCTTCACACACTTTATCATTAATCTTTGCAACAAACTCTCTTCCCTGATCAGAAAGCAATCTGGAAGGTGCGCCCCATCTAAAAGATAACAAAATCAATTTAAGACTTCAGATGTTTACTATAGTTAAACAAAGTCCAGTGGTTAATTGGGTACTCTTTTACTGCAAAGTTTCTTTTAAAGTCAGGGATCAGAAATACTAAATACTATGATTATGTGGTACCTGCATGTGAACGTCTTAATGCATTTCGCAACGCCAGAAGCACTTTTGTCCTTGATAGGATAAAAATCCACAAACTTTGTGAAGTAGTCGGTGAAAGTACAGACATACTTAAAGCCATCTACAGTTGTCGGTATTGGTCCTGAAAAAAGAGTTTAAAAGATTATTCTATGAATATATTATAACAGTGATTATAATATATTAGACCGTAATCTGGGGGACTAAAAGTCATCTAGAAAACAAGTTCCGTTGCCCACCTCTTGCGTCTAAGTTGAACGTACATAAATCTGTAGATCTTGATGCCCTGAATATGAATATCAATGTTGTCACTCGAACAAACCCGCAGTTTTCGAGTAAATTGTCGTCGAAATATCACAACTCTCATGGCTTAAATCCAAGATAGCCGACACGTTTGACAAGGGTACTTTATGTAATATACGTTGAACTGTACTAGTTCTAATCCCCAATGCAGTTTTTATCACGCGGTCAAATAAAGTTATCAATTTAAAATATCAATAAAAATAGGAAACATACCACATTTCTTCATAAAAAGTCACTTTGCGACAACACTAACGTTTATGCCTTGAACAATGTTGAATATACCTACATTTATTATGAAAATGGGGGTATTAGCCAACTCCCCTAAGCGTGAGATGGAAACAGGTACCCAAACGTATTTACTAATCACTTGCATTTGCATCCCCCAAAATACAATTTGATTTTCTATTTTCCCGTAGGGTCCAACTCGTTAGAGGCTGCTAATACCCCCTCTGCCTATACACGGATTTGGAATCTTAACTGGGTACCAAACCCTACACCTGTACTGATTAACATGGCGATCAGACGTGTGGAAATTTCTGCAAGTCTTATCTCGCTTTTGCTGGCTTGTTTGATCTGAACAAGTTATGTATGCCATTCACATTCAATGGTACTTGGTAAATATGAAAAATATCCATTCCACTGGTCATTTTGCTGGGCAAAATCGATATCAATACGGATATCGCGTGTGAGGCTCCCTGGGTCATGTACAAATTGCTCGTGGACGAAGCATGGATATTTGTCACTAGCTTTGCCTATGCCTCGACAGATGGAAGATCTCACCATTTATATGGATGTTGCCAGCAATCCTGGACCTGCAGGAGTTTCTGCTGCCAAATTGAAATTGTCAAATCTTGGTCAAGCGTGTTCGCCGCTCATGTTTTTGCATTCTACGCCAAAGACAAAGGCAAACATAACGACATGTGTATCAAATCAGAATATCTCTCAGATAAGTTCTCAAGTTTCTGCTATTCCTGTCATTTATTCAAACTCTAGGGAAACGAAACGTTCTCAAAAACCTAACTATCGCTTGTTACGTTTGGTAAAGAATGTGGAAGCCGTTTATAATATCCCAACGCTCGTCGGCCACATGTTTGTCTACATAAACATACTGTATATCGAAATAATCTCATTTCAACTCCTATATGTCGAACTGACGTTAGTTCTAAACCTTCAAGAAAAGCAAAGTTTAGCCTTCTAAATGCGCGATCCATGAATAATAAATCTACAGCCATCAGAGAAATTATCACTGAAAATAATGTGGATATATTAGCCTTAACTGAAACGTGGCTAAATGAAGATAGTCGAAATGAAAATGAATATATAATTCGAAATAGTACACCGTCTAACTATGTCTTTAAACATGTTGCTAGGAAGTCTAGAGGTGGTGGAGTCGCATTGATCTACAAAAAAAGTTTTGCTTTTAAGTTAAACTTTGCGAAAGCAGTTCAAATCGTTTGAATATATAGATACGGTCTCGAGGGTTTCTAATCCTGTTCGGATTATTGTTGTGTATAGGCCGCCGCCATCTACATCAAATGGCCTCACGTGTGACATATTTTTGTCAGAATTCAGAGCTTTTTTAGAACAAATTATTCTCGATGCTGGAAACATCATCGCTGGAGATTTCAACTTTCATGTAGATTATCAAAACAATCCACAAGCGGTGAAGTTCTTAGATATGATCGATTCTTTCAATCTTAAGCAGCACGTTCGGAAGCCTACTCACAAATATGGTCATACCTTGGACTTAATCATTACTCGTTGCGAAGATAACATCGCTGATTCCGTATACATTACTGACCCAGGTATTTCCGACCACTTCGCCATAAATGTGAATGTCCTAATCAAGAAACCAGAGAGACCGAGAAAGAAAATTTGTTTC